GGCTGGTGAGTTTGAACAGCTGACCTTGTGGTTCAAACCAACCTTGCAGTCCTACAGCACCACAAGAGGACTGCAAAGAATGGTTGTGAATGGATGGAAACACTGCCTTCATAAGTGTATAGACTTAGAAGAGGAACATGTTGCAAAACAATAATAGCTTCACATACTGATATTTTTTGCTTAATAAAGATTTCTATGAAATTATAGCAATACTTGTTGACTTACCCTTTTATTTTTGTAGAGAAAGATAGAGTGAATATCAAAGAAAGAAAGAGACTGATTTATTTTAAGGAGTTGGTTCATGCAATTATGCTAATTAGAAAATTCAAAATCCATAGGGCAGGTCAGTATGCTAGAAATTATGCAGGATGTATATGTTAGAGTCCTGAGGCAGAATTCCTTCAGGAAACCTCATCTTTTACCTTTTAAATGATTTTTTAAGATCCACTCATCTTATAAGGCACTCTGGTAGCACAGTGGTTATGAGTTGGGCTGCTAACCTCAAGATCAGCAGTTCGAAACTACCAATCATTCCACAGGAGAAAGTTGATGCTTTCTGCTCCCGTAAAGATTTACAGCCTCAGAAACCCTATACAAGGTCACTCACTATGAGTCGGAACCAACTCCACAGCACACTACCACCACTCACCTTATGGAGGATAATTTTTTTTTTTCTAAAATCCTATTAATATAAGTGTTAAGTAAATCAAAATACATTCATAGCAATATGTGGTGCTGTTGGTAGTGCGCCATCAGTTCAGACTTATAGCGACCCTGTAATAGGGTTTCTGAGGCTGTAAATGTTTACAGGAGCAGAAAGTCTCATTTTCTTACTGCTGAGCTACTGGTGGTTGTGAACTGTTGACCTTACAGTAAGCAACCCAATGGGTAACCCCCTATGCTACCAGGGCTCCTATAGCAATAAGTAGTGTTTGACACATAAAATTGACCATCACATGGGTTAAGGAAGAGCCATCTGTATAGAAGTCTGTGGTGCCAATATGTAAAGGGTGTTAAAATAACCTGACTAGAATAGAATATAGAGGTTTGGGCTGGTCCTTTCAAGGATATTACTGTATATTGTTGGTTCCAACTCATCATGCCCCTGTATAGGGTTTCCAAGTAGCAGCTGGTGACTTTGACCGCATTTCAAACTGATCTTGCAGTCCAGTGCATTATCCCACAGTGCCACATCAGGATTCTATTACTGTCTATGTTATTGTTGTTGTTGTTGTTAAGTATCGTGGAGTCAGTTCCAACTGATAGTGACCCTGTACAGGGTTTCTGAGGCTGTAAATCTTTACAGGAGCAGAAAGCCTCATCTTTCTCCCATGGAATGGCTGGTAGTTTTGAACTGCCTACCTTTAGGTTAGCAGCCCAATTCATAGCCACTACACTAGCAGAGCAACTTGTTACTGTTACATATAAATGAGATAAATTCTTAATAAGTTGCTAAAGTGTGGAAAATGAAACCCCTAAAAGACAGGCTTATGTAATAGTTATTTACTGAAGTGTCTTCTCTTTAATCCAAATCCTGGGTCTTCTATGCTTTCATTTTTCTGAGTAGTCTTTGTAACTCTGGGCTCAAATTCAGTTACGTGGGGCAGCACAGTAGAAGTTAATGATTATCATGTCAGGTTCTCCTCCGTTTTAGTCTTTGACTAGCCACCTTCCAAGCATCATCTTAAAATTAATGTTGAACAAATATTTAATTAATATCGGGCTAATGGGTGCAGAGTTATCAGTTGCTCCTTAGTATTCATATGCCTGGATCCAAACTGAAGTATACTCATAATTTCTCAGAAAAAAAGAGCTTGTTGACAGTAGGACTGTAGGATATATTGTGGCCAGAGGTTTTTCTCATCTAACTGATTTGGTGGCATTATTGAAATTACTAGAAGCTTCGATGGTATAGTGGTTAAGTGCTCAGCTGTTAACCACAGGTTTTTAGTTTGAACTCACCAGGTGCTCTGTGGAAGAAACACAGCAGTCTGCTTCTGTAGGATTCATAGCTTTGGAAAGCCTATGGAGCAATGCTACTGTGTCTTATAGGGCTGCCTCACTATAAGTAGAAATTCAACTGAACTATAATGGTTTTTTGATTTTACTGAAATTGCTAGAAAATATATTCCAAGAATTTTTTCTGCTCTGATATTCAACATGGCAAGAATGCCAGAATCTTAGACTCCTGATCAACCTTAAAAAATTAGCTACTGAACCATCCTGAAGTTGTATCATTATGGTATTCTCAAACCTAAATTTTGACTTGAACTTAAATTTCATAAAATTAATATTCAGTTTTTAATATTCATGTTTTTACTAAGCATGATCATATTGTGAATACAGGCTGATAGTATTATCCTTTACTGTCATCGTTAATATGGCAGATGCATAGATAGGAAAAGCTCTACTATTAAAGTAAACCAAGATAATTGTGGCATCTTTTAGACCACTTACCTACAGAAAACACATCATCTGAGGATTGCATTCAAAAAGAAAGAAAGAAGGGAAGGAATGCAGGCAGATAGAAAGAAAGAGAGAGAGAGAGAGAAGGAAAAAGAGAGAGAGAGAAAGAGAGAAAGAGACAAAGAAAGAAAGAAAGAAAGAAAGAAAGGAAAAGAAAGAAAAAGGAAAGAAAATGCACACTAGTTTTATTTTTTAGAAAAGATAGGGGTTAGAGGGTTGTGAATTAGTGACCAAACTGATAGACCCTCTTGGACTGAATAATTTGTACTGAAGACTGAGCCTTGATATGTCTGAAATATGTTTGTTTGGATATATGCAATGAAGATCCTCATTCCTTTTTAAAGCATATTTGAAAGACAATGGGGTTATGTATTCAGCTTGTATCTTTTTCTATTGCAGCAAAATTGAAGAAGATGAGAAAAATAATAATGGCAAGGAAGAAAAGGAAAAAGTTGAGGCTGAAAAAGTTAAAAGAGAAGCAATAGAGGTAGTTGTTTCTGAATGGCAAAACCTATAAACGTTCAATGATCTTTTCTCTATGCAAGACTCCTTCCTACTCCCTCCTCCCCACCCCAGATTCCTTACTTAGTGACTTTGATACTGAAAACAAGTGTTTGGATCACAATACATACTATGGCCTCTTCCTGCGTATTCAGTTTATTAACTACAAATCTGATTTAGTTGCTTAGGCATTAGATATAGTTTGATGTAATTCACTGACCATATGAATTATATCATTCCAAGAAAGAAGTGCATACAGATTGTCATCGTGTCTGAATGTAAACCCATAGAGGGCACTGTGCAGATTTTCTCTATATTTTGTTGTATTGTTGTTGTTAAGTGCCATCAAATTGATTCTGACCCATAGTGACCCTTACAGAGTTTCCAAAGAGTGGATGGTGAATTTGAACCACCAACCTCACAATTCAAACCAACCTTGCAGTCAAGTGCATTAACCCACTAGTCCCAATCAAATCCCAACTGTGTAAAATTTTTGAAAAGTTACGTACGAACATATTTGAACCCTTGGTTCTCATTCTGTAAAATCTCACATGATGATGGTGATAAGATGAAAGCTATAGATTATTTAGTTGCTATTACAAGTCAGATGTTATAAACATTTTAATAAATAATCCTTGTAAAAATCATTCAAGGTATGTTTTATTATCTGTATTCTATAGATGAGTACTCAGGGGTTCAGAAAACATGCTTGAAGCATGCATAATTAGCAATTTGACAGATAACAATTGGACCACAAGTTCTGACTTCAAAACCTATGATGCATTTGTCTTCTGCTCCCACTGCACCTTGGAATATTTCTGCAGGTGGTGTCTTAGGTCTTCATTAGTCTTTTCCTTCATCCTTTTCTAAATTGGAAAATTTCACTTCTTATTGACTTCTCTACTCTTGTTTTTGCTTCTTACAGTCTATTTTCAAATATGATGCTAAAGTAATCATTTAAAAACATAAGGAAAGTCTTATCTCACTCAGATTAAGAACCAAGGTCATTTTGGTGGTTTGTAGTGCCTCACATAACCTAAACTTTGTGAACATTCAAACCTTATTTTCTATTATTCTACCCATTACCACCCTGTGCTTGCTTTGCTATACTGACCACTTTGCACTTTGTTGTGTCTTGAACATGCCAAACGTTCCATTCATAGCTACCCATAATGTTAAAAACCAGGAATCTAGACTGACTGTTAGGGTTGACATATTAGCTCCATCTGCTACCAGTAAGGTCAGACAATAATTTTTTTTTTTTTTTTGGCTTCTGAGTTTCTTCATTTATAAAATAATTACAAATATTAGGTCTACTATTTGTTGATGGTCCAAGGAACTCATCCCTATGTAAAAGTACAATGCCTCATATGTGGATGTTGAGGACTGCAATGTGTACTCAGTGCATGCATTATATTTTGGGGCATTATTTTATAATTACATATATTTAGCTATCTGGTTATTGAACACTTCTTTCATTTGGCAGGAACTATGCAGTGAATACCGCAACTTAGTAAGGAACGGTCGGCTCACATGTACTAGAGAGAATGATCCCATCGAGGGTGCTGATGGGAAAATCCATGGCAATACTTGCTCCATGTGTGAGGCCTTTTTGTAAGTAGTGCTTCAGTCATTGTAATTACTGAGAATAGGAGAAGGCAAGCATGGGATGGGCAAGGGAATGATATTGAAGGTTTTCTCCAGGAGGTAGATCATGAAGGCTGACTTATATTGAGTTCAGAGGAGTCACTATTATAAACCACATAAAATATTTCACTTAGTATTCTTAGTATTCAGAAAGGGACTTGGATCAGCATCAAAGGAGGACCAATTGCTAAGGCAAAAGTCTCCCAGAATTAATGGCATAAAAGTACCAGGACTTTTATCCTCTTCATATATAGATCATTGTCATGGATAATCCAAACATTGTGTGCTAACAGTTGGAAATTGATTAACAACTAGACATGTTTGTCAATATTTGTAAATACCAGTTCTTTTTCTGAGGATAAGAACTAAAGCAAACAAACAACAACAACAAAAACCCAGACAATTCTGTCTAGTCAGTTCTGACTCATGATGATCCCATATGTTACAGAGGAGTACTGGGTCCCTTAGGTGCCATAGAATAAGAACTGGACTGTGAACCACAAAATTGACAGTTTGAGTCCATCAGCCACTATGCAGGAGAAAGATGAGGCTTTCTGCTCCCACAAAAATGTACAAACTGGAAGGCATACAACAGTAACAATAGTGATGAAAGGAAATTTCCAGTCCTCTCATTCTTGGTGCTGTTGTATAGTTCTACCTACCAACCTGTCAGGTAATAGCCAAGAGCAAACTGCACCACTCAGGGACCTGTAAATAAGAATAATGCTTGGTATTTTTATAGTAGTGAAATTGTATTTACTGTTCTGCTATGGTATATTTATCTTAATCTTAAAGTAACATAAAAAAAAAAAAGAAGTAGAATAGTATGAATGGGGTGTGTTTATCCTTCTACACCAAAACTAAATTGGTAGAGGTATAGAAGCAATGGAATGTTTCTATTTTGATATATTTTCTCTTTATAATAATATATCAGGTGCTAGGAATAATTATCCTTTCCCCCCCTCTCTTGTAGTCAGCAAGAAGCAAAAGAAAAAGAAGTTAATTTCAGAGCAAAAGTTAAAAGAGCAGCTGAAAAGGTAGTTGTCCTGGATTATTGATACATAAATAAAAGGATGAGTTTTGCAGTTTCTGTGTAAAAATAACTCATGGAATTACTGGTGGCCCTTCGAACCTACCCAGCGACTCCATGGGAGAAAGTCTTGGCGATCTGCTTCCGTAAAGATTTTGACCAAGAAAACCCCCTATGGAGCTGTTCTGTTCTGTCACATGGAGTCAGTATAAGTCAAAATCAACTTGATGAAATCTAATAACAGCAGCTCTGAAGAAACTAAGGGTTTATTTAGGTTAGGGGTTGACAAACTTTTTAAAATTTCAATTAATAAATATTTAGGCTTTGAGGCCAAACTGTCTCTAGTACAACTGCTCATCCTCCTGTTGTAACTCTATAACAACCATCTATAATATGCAAATGAATGAGTGTGGCTTTGTTCCAATAAAACTTTATTTATAAAAGAAAACACATGATGGGCTGGATTTTTCCCAAAGACTGTTTGTAGTTTGCTGAATCCTGATCAAATCCTTCTCCTATTTTAAAACTGAGAAGATAAAAAGTCCAGAAAACATTGGGAACACAGAACCCAACTATTCATAATTCAAAGTTCTTATAACTGAAATATGAACAAATAGAACACAAACCGATGCTTCCTGACATCAAACCTAGCACTCTTCCTAGTACATTACATATGTGATTTTTATTTACCACATTTGCTTAAACCATGTGCATGTTCCTTACTTTATATTTGCTATTCTTTTGGTGCCAGCACTTGGGTGAAAAATAAAGAAAATAACTATCACTAAATAGCATTTTCTTGGGTTCAAAAATATTAACTCCAGGTAGATTATTTCAAGTTTGTAGTAATTTCCTTTCCTCATCAAATACTTTTGATATTAAAAATGGTCTTTAAAGAAATATCACATTCCATGTAGTTGTATTTTACACAATTGTACATCTGAATTAAAAATGAGTAGTTCATATGAAAGGAGCCCTGATTACCAGTGCTAACCACAGGTCAGCATTTTGAGTCTACCAGATGCTCCTTGGGAGAAAGGTGTTTTCTATTCCTGTAAAGATTTATAGCCTCAGAAACCCTATGCAGGGTTGCTATAAGTTGGAACCAACTTCATGGCAGACCACCACCACCACCATAGTTCATACAAAAAAACATTAAAAAGTATATCAAGTCAAAATTCTTTAGTAAGGGACAATTTCTAATTTCACATTAATTAATATTGATAAACTCTTCTTACTTCTTTTGATAAATATGATCAGGGAGAGGGGTTCTGGCAGTCAATCTTGAAGTAAAGCCAGCATAAAAACTCACTCTGTAGTTTACATTGAATATCAGCTTGAACTAGTGGATTCTGAAAAAAAAAAAAAAAATCAGTCATTTTTACTACCAATAATAAATTCTATGATCCTAAGTAAATTACTTATTCTTGATCAATTCATCATAAAACATTAATTTATAATCCTGGAAATCCTATATAGGTCATTGTGAGTTGGAATCAACTGAATAGCAGTGGGGTTTTCTTTGTTGTTTTTGTTTTTTAAGTAGATGTTAGTTATGGTACTAAACTACATACCTACGTTATCCCACTTTAATATCACAAAAATTCAGGACGTATATTGAATAATTGGAGTTCTGGTGTTGTACTGCGGGTTAATGTGCTGGACTGCAAAGTCAGTTTGAACCACAAGGTCGATGGTTCATTTCTGTAGCCATTCTTAGGAAACCCTATACAGGGTTACTATGGGTCATAACTGATTCAGTAGTACTTAACAACAATAAACTTGAATACTTAATGTATTTTGGTCGTTATTATTTTGTTGTTGTTATGTGCCATTGAGTCAATTCCAACTAATAACAACCCTACATAGAATTTCCCTGGCTGTACCTTTTTGAGGGAGCAGAAAGCCCCATCTTTCTCTCATGAAGCAGCTGGTGGACTGGAGCTGCTGACTTTATGGTTCTAAACTACCATGTTCCCATTATTATGATTTTACTCATGTGAAATAGATTCTAAATTCTTTAGGAAAGGAGAAGAATTCAGAATGAGAAATATCATAAAAATCATGTCATGTAGAGAATGATTAAAGTATCTGGAGGTATTAAATCTTGGGAGATAATATAGAAGAAAGATAAGGAAAATATCTGTAAATAAGACTTCCAAATGAAAGAAGAAAATATCTTCTGTTTCCCTGAAGAAAGCAAAATACTTCAGTTTTATTTGCTATCTGAAGGAGCATAATCTTCACATATTTTTTATGACAATTTATAAAAGTAAGCCCTTTGAGTTGGAATCCTATGTTATTATTGCTGTTAGGTGTCATCAAGTAGGTTGTGACTCAATACAACCCTGTGTAAGCACTAAACTTTGTCCAATTGTGGGCTACACTCAAAGTCATTGTTATTGATGCCATTGTTGCAGCCACTGTACCAATTCATTTCACTGAGGATTTTCCTCATTTTTTTAACTGGCCCTCTGCTTCACCAAGCATGAAGTCCTTTCCAAGGACTGGTCCATACTGATAAATGTCCAAAGTATGTGAGATAAAGTCTTAACTTCATCACTGCTAAGGAGCGTTCTGTTTGTACTTCTTCTAAGACATATTTGCTTGTTCTGGGAATTCATGGTATTTTCAGTATACTTCTCCCACGCCACAACTCAAATGCATCAATTCTTCTTCAGTCTTCCTTGTTTATTGTTCAGCTTTCATATGTGTATGAGGCTATTAAAGAGCATGGTTTGTGTCAGGTGGTCTTCAGCCCTCAAATAACTCCTAAAGGAATATAACTATTTTACAATATTTCCTAAAAGTAAGACTATGATAAAACAGTTACTGTCAAGTTGATTTCAACCCATGGCCAACCCATGTAAGCCAAAGTAAAACTGTGCTCCATAGGGTTTCCAATGGTTGGCTTTGAAGTTTATCACCAGACTTTTCTTCTGAGACACCTCTGGACACCTTGAATCTCCAACATTTCAGTTAGCAGGGAAGCACGTTAACTACGTCTTTCAAGGACTCTAGCACTACAACTAATTTATGAAACTATATATATATATGTATGTATTTATTTTGGAGAGAACTGTGTGTGAAAGAAATGAATTCCATCATAACATAACTTCTTGTCAGGCATGATGTAAAGGGTGTTAAGAGGTAGCATGGATAGTTGGACCAAAGGAACTTAGAGATTCTATTTAAGCCTGAGGTTTCTGATTCTCTGATGTGTGAAGTGATTTTTTTTAATGATTACATTGAAATAGAGATGAATAATAAAAGCCAAGTATGAGCTGTGGGCCCACCCTCAGAGAATCCAGTTTATTAAGAGACTCTTACTTGTGTATGAATCCAGACTTTGTATTTTAGGGCTAATTCTCAAGGGAAAGAAACACAAAACTTTTTAAGTTATTTATATTTAGTAGTAATTGGATGATACAAATACCAGGAAAAACAATTTTTTTCCCACTTCCAGCCCTCTTCATCCCCTTTATTTCTAGTTCTTAGTAGAAATCCAACAATAGACTTCCAGGAAAATATTCAAACACTTGACTTTTCTTCTTCTTTCAGGATACATGCAGTGAATTTCGGACTCTTTCACAAAATAAAATGCTTTTCTGCACACGAGAAAATGATCCTGTTCGTGGTCCAGATGGCAAGACCCATGGCAACAAATGTGCCATGTGTAAGGCAGTCTTGTGAGTGCACAAATGAAGCTCCCACTGTGGTTGGCAGAGTTAGGGAGGCTTGGTAGATAATATATACTTCCTTACATATAAAAGAAACAAATAATAATTTGTAAGGAATTGTTTAGACAAACCCAGCTTTTAAAAGGTCAAGGTTCACAGTTTAGAAATAGATAGCATCTAATTAGAGTCCTGGTGTGGCACTGTGGGCTAGTGTGTCAGACTGCAAAGTCATTTGAACTGCAAAGTTGGTGGCTCAAGCTCACCAGATTCTCTTTGGAAACCCTATCCAGGGTCGCTATGGGTCAGAATCGACTCGATGGCACTTAACAACAACAAATAGTTCATTACATTCTCTATTAGTTCTGGGATCAAGACTAACAATGGATCACAACATCTTCTTGGATAATTTTAAGACCTTTGCTGTCAAATGGAGCTCTTCTTTGGTGTATTTTGGAATTCCCATCCAGAAAAAAACTCTTTTATTGTCGATCTAACTTGTCTGTCTAAAGTTGTGAGTGTCTCACTCTATTAAGAGAGTGAAATTTTGGGAGGACACCATGAATATATGTAAGGCATCCAACAGTCTTTTTGCTGAACATCTCAAATGTACAAACTGCGTAATAATTATACAATGATGAATGAAAACAGACACTCTTTTCTGAGAGCATAACATCTATTGGAGATTAGACATGCACAGAAGCTAATAAAATACAGTGGACAGATTGCTAAATGAAAAATGATATATCTGGTAGCGTAGTGATTATGAGTTGGGCTGCTAACCTTAAGGCCAGCAGTTCAAAACTACCAGACACTCCATGGGAGAAAGATGAAGCTTTCTGCTCCCATAAGATTTACAGCCTTGGAAACCCTGTACAGCATCACTGTGAGTTGGAACTGACTCCGTGGCACACCACCACCATAATACTCTAGAGAAGGAATAGTTAATAGAAAGTTTTGTGGTGTAATAAATTGGATCTTCGAATTTGGAAAGGATGAGATAGGACAAGGAAGTATGAGTGGAGAAGGGATGAACATTAGTGAAAGATATAAAAATGAAGAAAACAGCATCCATATATGATAAAATGCAAGCCACTGTGCCTAGTTAGAACTCTCCAGCATTACCAGTATTGAATTCCAGGCCAAGGATACAGAAGTAAGTTACATAGGCATTGGGAAGCTGGCAGTTTTTTTTTCCAGGTTGGGGAACAAGTAGCACAAATGTCATTCTTTCAGGAGCATTCACATGTCAGTAGTAAAAAGGGGAAAAAAAGGATGAAGGGACTATATTTCAGAATGCTACTTCTGCTGTGGTGGTTTACATTAATTCAGTGAAAAATATCTGAATCAAGGGAAACAAGGAAGTTGGATATAAGAGGTGAATAAAGATGGAAGGCATTGTGGAGCTGAAGGACCAGAAACAGATATGACTCCAAAGTATTATTCTTTGAAAGATAGAGAATCCAGGAGGAAAAATTATTTTGACAGAGAAGATAATTATTTTTGGATTTATTAGATACAAAATACTTGTGAGAAATTCAGCTAGTGATGTCCAGTGAACATCTATGAAATATTAATTAACTGCTCACTTTGTATTAGACATCATTATGCATACACTAATATTCACCTTCTGTAAAAAAAACTCTTCCATGCAAAGAACTTCACATAATCCATCTTTTTATTTCAGAGAAGAGAGTCTGCAACATAATAGATATTCACTATAGTCTGGAGAATTCTGGAAAGTCCAATTTGGTCATACAACAAGAAATTCATTGAAATGCACCCCACTCTCTCTAATCTATTATTATCTATCCCCATTTCCTAATTTCCAGCCAGAAAGAAGATGAAGAAAGAAAGAAGAAAGAAGAGGAAGAGCAGAGAATTACCTCAGAACACAATTCCAACGGTGGGGGTGGTGATGGTGGTGAAGGTGGGAAAACTCAGGTGAGAACAACCTCTTTGTGCACAATCAGAGAGGGCTCAATTCATTGGCAATGGAACAATGATATGGCCTGGTGTGGTGCTGTAAGATAAGCACTGGACTGCTATCCTTAAGGTCTGAAGTTCAAATTAAAAACCCTAGTAGGGTCACGATGAGTTGGAACTGACATAAGGGCAGTTAACAACAATAATGACAAAGGTGAATTTATTTAGTGCTCAGGTTAAAAGAACAGGAGTTTCTCCATTAATGCTGTAGATATGATCTATAGATAATTCCCAACTATCTGTCTATCTGGAGTCTTGGTGTGGCACTGTGGGTTAATGTGCTGGACTGCACGGTTGGTCTGAACCCTAAGGTTCAAACTCATCAGCTGCTCCTAGGAAAACCTATAGAGGGTCACTATGAGTCAGAACCAACTTGACAGTACTTAACAACTATCTATCTACCATCGATCTATCTATCTATCTATCTATCTATCTATCTATCTATCTATCTATCTATCTATCTACCTACCTACCTACCTACCTACCTACCTACCTACCTATATCTATATATATTATATTATTTCTGATGACCATGCTGTCACAAGTCAGTTCTGACATAAATCGAAAAACTCAGGTTTAAAATTTTTTTTTCATTATTATTGTCTTTTATTTATCTTTATATATCTGATCTCTATTAGTCTTTGGGGATTGGAAATGTTACATCTGAGAATAATAATATTAGAAAATTATGTGCTGTAACATGTAATATATATGTACTATACATTACATATATAACAATGTATATATATGTTACATATATGTACATATGCTATATATATATTACATATATACATTACATATATAACATACATGTAATGTATAGTACATATTACTAATAATGACAAGATGCAAAACAACAAACATGAAACCAAAAATAGACTGTGGTAAATTTGTGGTTCATCATAACCAAACATGGTAATTTTTAGACTCTCTGGTAGCATAGTGGTTACGAATCAGGATGCAACTGTCAAGGTCAGGAGTTCGAAACTACCAGCTGTTCCATGGGAGAAAGATGAGGCTTTCTGCTCCCATAAAGATTTACAACCTCAGAAATCCTGTACAGGGTTGCTATGAGTTGGAACTGACTCCACGGCACATAACCACCACCAACAGAGCTCACTTTATATTTTCTAAACCCGGAGATAGTTAATTATGTCATTACTTTATTCCAGTCCCATGATATCTCTTTATACTTTTCAATTATTCACATCAGTAATTAATTTCACCAGCTGTGGCTCTGTAGGATAATCACTGGACTGTAAACCACATGGTTAATGGTTTGAGTCCACCCGCCACTCCATGAGACAGAGATGAGGTTTTCTGCTCCTACAAAGATTAACAGCCTCGGAAATTCTATGCAGGGTTGCTATGAATCAGAATTTACTGGATGGCACTTAACAGCAATTACATCAATAATTGGTCTCACCAGCACCACATGCTCTTTATTTCTTTCATTATTCTCTTTTGTCTTGGACGAAGCCACGTTTGTGAAGTAGTTTTTCTATTGACCCAAGGAAGTATAAAATAGTGAAAAGAGCATAGACATTAGAGATAATTTAGTGCACAGCCCTTCCCTTAACACTTATGAGTTGTGAAGCCTTGAATAAATCACATCATCTCCCTGAACTCTTTTATCTAGCAGAAGTTAGCTCTGGTAGCATAGTGGTTACGAATCGGGCTTCAAACCTCAAGGTCAGCAGTTCGAAACTACCAGTTGTTCTGCGGGAGAAAGATGAGGCTTTCTGCACCCATAAAGATTTACAGACCCTGTACAGGGTCACTATTAGTCAGAACAGACTCCACAGCACACCACCATCACTCTTACTAGAGATAAAGCAAAATAATTTTGGAAAGTTCTTAGACTATTTCCTGAGACTCTTCAAGTGACAACATGACAATGTTTCCTGTAAGCTTAGTGCCTGGGTGTGTGAAAGCAACTGGATAGGTTTCTAACCAACTTACTTCTCTTTTCATGATCTTACATGTAAAGCTTGTCATTTTGCTTCCAGGTCTGACACATGCCCTATATAAATTCTGACCTTTTAATTTTTCTATCTCTCCTACTTTAGGGGACTGAGTTCTCACTCTCAAGGGCAACACCTCTTAAGATGTTTATCTATCTTCTGTATAATTCCTTCAAGCTTTCTTACTTAACACTTCCTTTGTATAACTTTGTACTTCCCCCAAAATTTCTCTTCTTTTTTATCTACACCATAGTCCAGGAATTTTTTTTTTTTTTGTAAATGGCCAAGTAGTAATATTTTAGTTTTTGTGGGCTCTATTGCATGTTATATCTCTGCCATTGTTATGAGAAAGCAGTTATAAGTATGATATAAGTTATAAGCGAGACTGTGTTTCAATAAAATGTTATATATATATATAAACTGTGAGATATAGTTTTCTGTCCCTTGTTCTATGTTTCTATATCTGAGTTAACTTTGTAATTTTGCTGTGTAGAACCTTAAAAGCAACATCAGTGGGCAGGACCCTGACCACTTATAATTAGAATACAAATTAGTCTAGCCTTTCTTTTTCTGTGGGTAGTAACCCTAGATGCTATTCATATTCCTGACAGAGGAAAGTAGATAAGATTTTCATTCAAATTATGAACAAACATAATAAGAAATAATCAGAATAAGTAATCCAGGAGGCTTGCTCTCATCTTCTGTTTCAGGACCAGTGTGCTGAGTATCGGGAAAAAATTAAAAAGGGAAAACTCAGCTGTACTCGGGAGAACGATCCTGTACGTGATGCTGATGGAAAATCATACAACAATAAGTGCACCATGTGTAAGGAAATACTGTAAGTACTGTTGTCCCTAGGTATGTCTAAAAGATAGTCACTTAATAAAGGCTCTCATTGTTTATGACTCCAAACGTAAGAATTAATTCTTTTGTTAATTCTAAACATTTATCAATTTCCCTTGAATTGCCTAGGAGTCAATGAACCCCTGCAAAGGCAGTTGATCAAGTGACTGATTAATGCACTATATTCCATCATAAGTCTGTGGCCTCTAATCATGGTAGATAATTGATCCTTAGAATACATTGTTAAGAGTCCTAGGAAGAATTTGTGATGGTCATTTTGAATAGTTGGTCAACACAGCTTAAAATAATTCTCTTTTGTTTTTATTTTTTCATATGTATGGGATATACTTATTCATATTCCCGGGTCTATTCATTTCTTCCCTCTTCTTTTTTTCTTCCCTTGATGAGTGGCAGTGAATTGGAGAGGCTTAAGAACCAGCACAGTGACTGTTGATTTGTTTTAATTAAGTTGTTGTTGTTGTTAAGTGCCGTCAAGTTGGTTCCGACCCATAGTGTTTTAATTCCATTTATAAATTGAGGGAGCTTTCCAGGTGACATTGAATGGTACTTGTGGTTCTAAAACTCAGTGCATGTATTACAATGACATTTAATAGAAATGTACATAATACTGTTGTCCCCAGCACTTTTATACACTTTCCCACATCCTTCTTCCCACAATGAAAGAAAAGAAGAAAAAAGAAAGAAAAGAAATAAGGAAGGAGAAAGAAAAGAAGAAGAAAGGAAGATAAAAATGAAATTGTGATAGTAAAGGATATATGAAAAAAATCTAATCCAAATGATGCCTTTCACAAATGATAAAAAAAAAACAAAAAACAATAACTGAGGGCTGGAATGAGTAATTGGTTTACCATTCCATTGCTGTTATTGTTAGGCGCCTTGAGTCAGTATCGACTCATAGCAACCCTATGCACAACAGATTGAAACACTACCAGGTCCTGGCCAAATCTCACAATTATTGTCACTCTTGAGCCCATTGATGCTACCACTTTGCCAATCCATCTCGCTGGGAGACTTCCTCTTTTTCTCTGACTCTTCACCTTACCAAACATGATACCCTTCTCCAACGACTGGTTCCTCCTGACAGTATGTGTGAAGTATGAGAGCCAAAGTTTGGTCATCCTGGCCTCCAAAGAGCACTCTGGCTGCACTTCTTCCAACACGAATCTGTTGGTTCTTTTGGCAGCCCATGGCACTTTCAATATTCTCCTCCAACACCATAGCCAAATGCATCAATTCTTCTACAGTCTTCTTTTTTCACTGTCCAGCTTTCACATGCATATGAG